CTTGCTGCTTACTTTTCCAAGCTCTCTATCTACTTGATTTGTCTATGTATATAATCTAATGTATGATTAACACGTAGTTAGTGCATATTAACAATATCTGTTTAAATATCTGTTTTGAGTCATTAAAAATAAAATAAACAAGTTTTGTAAGGTGTGCATATGCAATCCTGCTCTCACCAAATTGAATTTTGATTTGACTACTTAAAGTTGTTTTACTTTTGGTTTAATTTAAAACTTCTACCTAACTAGAAACTAAAGAATGGGTAAATATAGAAGAGCAACTCCACCTATTTGCGCTTAGTCATGACATGGGAGGAGCTAGGGCAGTCACTATTTATGTGAATAGTAGTTGCCATTGCAAATAGTATTTTTCGTTTTCATCCGTTGCCATGGCAAAAGGCAATTACTATTCATTTTTTTATATTTTTTTCACAACTTTTTTTACCACAATAATTAATTTGGATAATATTTTCGGGTTAGATTTTCGGATTCTTACGTGTCAATACTATTCATATCTCATAATCGGATAAAATTTTTAATTTCAAATTTCAGATAAATTTTTTTAAAAATTGGCTGGTATTTATAAAAAAAATTCATTAATTTTTGGGTATTTTAAAAAAAAAATTCCAAATTTTTTCCAGTATTTTATTGCAAAAAAATTGGCTGCCGTTGGATTAGAGGAAAAAATCAGATCGAAAAGCCCAGACGACGCCACTTGGCAACAGGGGAAAAAAACAAATCAGTAGGTACTGTAGCGGGAATACTGTAGCGATACTGTAGCGGATATTGTAGCGCTGACGTCAACAGCCCTCGTTTTGGACCTCGGGCTGAAGCTGCCTTTGGGCTAGCCCGAGTTGGTGGGTCCCACACCTCCCCCGGGCTTGGGCTGTCTGCTGGAACAACTTCCCCCCCCCCCCCCCCCCTGGGCTCCCCCGCTGGAGTTGCTCTAATCATTCAAAAAAACGCACATAAACGACTATGAATCATTGATTGATATATACTATTACGATTGTGTATTAAAGAATGCTTCTCGGAGCATCCGAGAATGATTCGAATTGTATGAAGGGAAACTTTCACATACAGTTTTATTTTTGGGGGTTAGTTTTTTCTACGCAATGCAAAGCTAACATTTCTTTAATAAATAGATATCAAGATCATTTCGACGTAATATAGAAGATATCGGTTGTAAATCGCAATAAGAATCAAACCAGTTGGTGGAAAATTCGATCCCATGCATCCATTATCAATATCTCCTTTCCTTGAAAAGGTGTTCATTTTTTCCGGGAACTTCCAACCAAAGATAAAGTTGACGTCGAGTGGCAAAGAAAAGAAGAACACAAACATGATAAAACTGATGCCGCATGCAGCCATACGCACGCATGCTATATGGCACAGAGATTCCACACGCCTTTGAATTCAGATAAAACTTTACAAATTTATGAACAATATACACGGTTGCTTGAGCCTAATTAGTTTTTGGAAAAGATTAAGAAACTACAGTTAGCTTAGCTTAGCTAGAAGATTATTGAGATGATGACGTTTTATGTATGACATAATTTGGTCTTATAAAAATTATATCCACCAACCTTTGTTTAATTAATTTGTATTACCAAAATTGATACCCATATATTTCAAATTTGACCATCTATAATATAATTGTTGGAATCTTTGTATACAAAGACCATAATGCTTTCACTATTGGGCAAGATATGTTTTTTTTTTCTATTGATACTGACAAAAAACTTAGTTTATGTTTTGGCTTGATTATTATATATGGTTCAATAATTCAAAGACTAAAACATAATTAAAAGAAAGACGGAATTGTACTACTTTGGTCTCCTCGAGGTTTTCTTCCACGTTGTGATGTCATACAAAATCAATAATATATACCATGATTGCATTGCCACAAGGATATTCTTCTTCTTATATAACGTGTGAAATGAAAATGACAGGTGGTGTAGTGGTTTGAAATAATTGATATTTTATGAAAAGTTTTGAGTTCGAGTTATAGTATTCGTGTAATGTGTGTGAGTTTAGTATATTACCTTAATTATAGGATGTTTTCAAGAGTTTACTCCTTACGTGAAACGAAAATATCCGAATAATTAAAGTGGAGTACGACTCTTTTACTGCAGTCTCTTTAATTAATGAAGAGATGCTTAGTCACCCTCTCTCTAGCCTTATCCATGATTCCAAAGACATGCTTTTATGTGACTGGGACTGTTCCATTTCTCATATTCATAGAGGGGGAGTACTAGCAACTTTCTCTCTAACCTTCTCTTTTGGACTTTTTCTCTTCTTCTCATGACAAATGTCAATTTCTTTACACTTAAAACTAGGGGTGGCATTTTAGACCGAAAAATCGCAAAAACCAACCGACTATTTACCACAATGAAACCGCGATCGCGGTAAATCGAACAGCATTTGCGGTATGAAGAACCGAACCGCATTTGCGGTTGCGGTTGCGGTATTTAATTTTCAAAACTTGCTGTTACCGCAAACCGCAAAGTATAGTCAATCTATGTTGTTTTATTTGATATTATTATAATTAAATGTACTAAACTATATTGTTTTATTTGTAGATAACATTGGTGTTCAAACAACACAATGAGGTTCTTCAAATCCACTCACCACCAACACTTGAGTTTGTAATTTTAGTTTGTAACATTGATGCATTGCATTTTTCTTTTAGTTTGTAACTTTAATTAACTTTAAATTAGATTTTTCTTTTTAGTTGTAACTTTAATTCATTTTGCTTTGCATTTTCCTTTTGGTTTGTAACTTTAAAGGATTTGAAATTGGAATGCTTGAGAAGTTTAACTTTAATTGGAATGCTTGGAATCAATTCGCGGTAACCGACCGCTTTTTGTGGTTTACTGCGGTTTCAAAAATCACCATACCGCAAATAATTGGTTGGTTTGCGGTTTGAGCAAAAATTCGCGGTTACTGAACAGCAACCACCCCTACTTAAAACAATGTCATTAGTACATCATACAAACTAGTTTTTGTTTTCCAAGTTTACCCTTTTTAAATGTATTAATTTTTTTTTTAATAACAAGCTAATTTTTTTTTTACAACCTTCTTATCACCTTGTTAAAAAAAGAAAAAAAGAAAAGAAAAACTAATTTTTTTTTTCCCAAAGAGAACGTGTGTTTTGTTAAAAACAAAATAAAGATGATAACAACATCTTGAAACAAACTTTATTTTTAAAGAAAAAAAAAATAGAAGTTTTTTTAATTATATAAAATTATTATTTAATTTTTAATAATGTGCTAAAGAAGTGAAACAAAATTTGAATAAATTGAAGGAAATATAAAAGCCAATACATTTTAAAAGGATAAACTTGGAAAATAAAAACTAACTTGTGTAATGCATTAATGACATTGTTTTAAGTGTAAAGAAAATGACACTTATCATGAGGAGAAGGGAGAAGGTCCAAAAGAAAATGTTAGAGAGAAGGTTGCTAGCATTCCTCTTCATAGAGAACAAAATAATGCTGCTGACCATATGGGTCAAAACTCCAATTTGGGATATCAAGTTGTTGATCTTCCCCCTCCTTCTATTATAAGCCTCTTGGCAAATGATTCTGTTAAGATGACCAATGCCAGGCTTGTCCTAGTGTAGTTCTTTCTTGGGCTTCGGTCCTCCCTGTAACAAAAAAAAAAGGCAAAAATAGTTAGGTGGCCGACAAACACTAGGGGAAAAAAAACCATGTGATCCAATTTTGCTGTCACATTTTCCGGTTTCCGGAATCCAATTTTAGCAGCCATGTCCACACTTCACACTGCAGTGTGCCCGAATTTCAAGTCAAGGTCGAGCTGGGTCAAAATGGATCCATAATTTTTTTCAGGAATTGAACTGTTTCCCTGCATTAATTCAAGGCCTCCTTTATTAGTTTTTGACAAATGCATGATGATCGGAAGTCAATCGATTCTTCTGACCTCTTCATATAAGTATCAATCATGTTCAATTTTTGTACACAATCTTTTAAGGGAATTTTAACTTTTCACACTGGCAGTCTCTGCCCAGTTCACATTGCATCTGCCTCCTCAACCTCGAGGTGTTGTCGGTCCAGTTAAGTCGGTTTTGGGGTTAAGTTGCTTTTCGGATTTTGCTTCCACTTGTTAATTAAGTCACCCAGAAAAGGAGAACGTTATCAATATCGATCGTTATGAATTCATCATTGTAAATTAGCAAGAAATTATCACGGTATTTTTTTAATGGTTACAGTCTACTACGTACAAAAACATCAAAAGAGGTCAACATCAATGGATAAGGTTGTATGCATAGCCGAAAGGCCATTGAGTGAATTAAAAAAAGATCGTACATAAACAAATTAATAAAATTAATAAAAAAGAGGGTTCGTGCAAAGCCGAAAGGCTATAGTAATTTTTTTTTTTTTTCCCTTCATAGAAATAAGGAATGGTCTAAATTATTCTGACTAAACGACCGACTAATTTACGAATCAAGTTTGAACGAACATATACGCACTAGAAATGAAGACAAGGGCCCCCCTTGTTTTTTCTTCATAGAAACAAGGGGGACTCCTAAAAGACACGTAAAAATAGGAAAGCTGGGGAAAGCAAAGCAAAAATATTAACAAAAAAGTCTAAGGTTGGTTGAAAGTTGGAGCTTAGCTTGATGTAATTTCAAAACCGTGTTTTTCCGCCGTCCCAGTAGTCATGTCCGTGTGTAGCTGTGGCTTTTGATCAGTCAATTTTGACAAAGAAGACGCCTCAAGGAGAAAGAGGAGTGGCCAACATGCCTACATGTATATTATAATTATAATTATAATTTTATCTTCTAGCAATAGTGGGAACCTTGACCTTGACTTCAAGACCGACATGGCTTTTTTCATGCCCCATCGCCATCTCTCTCTCTTTCTCTCTTTCTCTCTTTCTCTCTCTACAAAATGTTGATTTTTATAGATAGAGATAAAAAACATGAGATGACAATCTCAAGAAAGTCCTTGAATGTCTTCTCTCTCTCATCACCCTCTCTTTCCTCCCACTTTCCCTTCCCAACATCAAATTCTTTCTTACGGTCCTTCTCCCATCTCTCTTGCTCTCTATATAACTTGCTAAGGACTGGTTTTCCTTTCAATACTGAAAAGAAAGATTTTGATCGATAGAGAGCTTCAACTGATAATAATTCAAGCTTTTTTCGTCGTCAGCAATGGACTCAGAATGGGTGAACACTTCTCTCGGCCTCAATGTTATTCCTTTCCACCCTGCTAGTTATGATCAAGCTCCTGTGAAGGTGAGATTTGTTTCTGCTGCCTTATAATTGGTTTGAGCTCTCTTGCTATCTAATTAATTAAGTTCTAATTCCAACCTCTAATTAATATTCAAATCTACTTTTTTTTATTATCAGAAGCAACTAGAGCTTGAAGGGGATTATACTAAAGTATTTGAAGGCCATGCATCGGTGAAACAAGAGGTGAGCTAATGCTTTTGAACGTTCATTTCTACTTCAAACCCTCGTAGCTAGAAATCAAAGCCACTAATTAATCTCTTTTGCTTAACTATTTAATTAAGAAACTAATAAGATTAGCGTCTTCTTTGATTTGATGGATATGTTGAAGCAGGCAGCAGCTAGCCATGTATTGACTGAAGAGTTGAATAGGATAAGTTTGGAGAACAAGAAGCTGACTGAGATGCTTGCCTCTCTCTGTGAAAACTACACCAATTTGCAATCCCATGTGAAGGAGTTGATGATCACCAAGCAGCAAAGTTCTGATCAAAACGATTTGGCTACAAACTTCAACAAGAAGCGAAAACCGGACAGCGAAGACTACAGCAACATGATTGGATTAACTAGTACTGAGACCAGCTCCATCAGTGATGAAGAGTACGGATGTAAGAGGCCGAAGGAGAACATGAACTTGAAGATTTCTAGGGTTTATGTACGCACTGAAGCCTCTGATACACGCCTGGTAAGCCCTAATTATTAACCCAATGCATTGCTTGAGATTTGATGCTGAAAAGTTGTCCAAAATATTAATTTCATGGATTTAAATTTATTTCAGATTGTGAAGGATGGATATCAATGGAGAAAATATGGTCAAAAGGTCACGAGAGATAACCCATCTCCTAGGGCTTACTACAAGTGCTCCTTTGCCCCAAGTTGCCAAGTTAAAAAGAAGGTACTTACCCTTTTTTTTCCCTTTCCTCCTCACCTCTCATAAAGAAGAAATAATATTGATATATTTGTTAACGTTTTTATTTTCAGGTGCAAAAAAGTGCGGAAAATCCATGTGTGTTGGTGGCTACATATGAAGGAGAACATAACCACATGCACCCTGAAACCAGAGCTGAAGTAACATTGATAGGCTCAATATCTCCAAACCAGCAGCTTAGTCCGCTTTCTCCATCCATGCCCAAGAGAACATCGCCAGTTCCAACTTTCTCATGTGACAAAAATAATAATCTGAGCCCCCGAGAAATCGAAGGCGCTCCACCGGCTTTTCAACAGTTTCTGGTCCAACAAATGGCTTCTTCCTTGACCAAAGATCCCAATTTCGCATCTGCACTTGCTGCTGCCATGTCAGGAAGATTTTCAGACCATTCTCGGATGGGAAATTGGTGAAAATCAAACCCAAGAAAGAAAGAAAAAAGACGAAAAATTAGAGCTATGTATACCCGATTATTATCACTTAGATTGAGTTCTTAATTTGCTGGTTGTATTTAATTTTATTTACACATCATTTGAGAGTTGTAAAGTGCAAGGATATGTAAATAGAATTATGAAATCATCATGAATGAAGAAAAAGGATTAGTTGTTCTTTACTGAAGTAGTACACTTGTACTATCTCTGGTGGTGGTGGTGGTGTGCTAGACCCCTTTCAAAATCTAGATCATTAGATTGGAATTGCTGAGAATAATCCCACACACAACAATTTTCTTCCTCTTAGAAAAATCAACGAGAAAGTAAGCAGGAATTTCCAAGAAAAATACCGACGATAAAAAATATAAAAATATATATATAAACGACTTGATCGGTGGGGGTCTTATCAGATAAATAAATTATTTATTATTATTAATTATTGTGCTGAAATGTTTGAACAAGAATTCGAACACCTGTGGCAGCTAATTAAGGCATACAGGAAAAGAAAAAGAGTGCATCAACATCACGATCAGACTAATAATGAACAGGAAAATATAATGACTATTGTAATGTAGCTACAAATTGACTATTGCTATCCTTAATTTAATTTTTAGTCCCGATGCAGCCGTACAAATTGACTAAAGAACTTGATCCCATATACTTTCCAAAATTTCTTTGAAAAATTACAGAAAAATCAGTGTATAAAGAACTAGCATCTCGGCGGGTGCTTTTTTTATTATGAAGCATTAATTTTTGCTCACCACTTTAACTCAAAATATACCCTCATAATTCTTTTTAACATTTGACACGTGTCTATTGATATAACTATGATTTCATAAATACAAAGTAAAGAGTTAGTTATGATTATGTCAATGAACACGTGTCAAGTATTGAGAAAGATAGTGAATACACCTTCAGTTAAAGTGGTGAGCAAAATATTTTATTTTTTATATATTCTTTTTATCTTTATGTATAGAGAATTTTTATTTGACATGAACTCTTGTATTTCCTTTGCCTTTGTAAAGTATATGTTATGAATTTTTTAAAACGAGAGCAATTTTCACATAACTTAAAATTACTTTCTCTAGGTTTATTTCTTATTTGGGTAACAGATTTAATATACGGAATTTAACCTTTATTTGTAAAGTTATCATTTTAAAAAACTCAATTTCTCTGGAAATTTTAGAAATGACGACTTTTAAATAGAATTTAAAGTGGGGATTTATGACCTCCAAATTCCATGTTTTTTCTCATGCGGAGTTTCTAAATTTTTATGTTTTAAAAAAAATCCAAACATGGGAATTGGTTCATATTAATTTAGAAATTTTAACTTTTATCAAACTCCCAAATTTATTTCCCTCATCCAAATGCATTGATATATGCGAAAATTCAAATTACAGAGGTAGCCAGATATATAGGAAAGGAAAGTCATGGAAATATAATTAATGAATGATCAAGTCTTTGGCTTTGGCTTCTAGGTCTTGTTTCCTTTATGACCACCAGTGAAAGTCTTTACACGTGAAAACGATTTGCTCGTAGTGGACTGACTACTTTAGAAGATCCACCCCAACGCAACATCAAATGGCCCTTTGGCACTAAGTAAGAACCTTTGGCACTAAGTAAGAACCACCCACTAATTCGTAGCACTTGCATGACTTATGGCTTTCGTCGTGATCATGCATGATGAACTTCTGGAAAACGATGACCTTGAGTTGATGTGATCTTTTAAATTTTTTTTTATAAAAAAATATACTTTAGGGGTCGTTTGATAATCATTTTAATTTTAGTTTTTTGTTTTCATTTTTCATTTTTTGTGCTAAAGTATAGAGAAAAATGAAAGTGAGAATATGAGTGAGGATGAGAATGAGAGAGGATGAAAGGGGATTATGGGAGGGAGGAGTAATAAAAGTGAAAACAATTTCAAATAGATTTCAGTTTTTAGTTTTTGTTATTCATCCTTCCTCCATCCGTCACTCTCATCTTCCCTATCAATCCCATATTCACTCATGTTCTCACTCGCTCCTTTTCCTCCATACTAAAGCATAAAAAATGAAAACTACAAACTAAAATTGAAATAGTTATCAAATGGGCTCTTAATGTCCAAAAAAGACATTATATTCAATTGTAAGGAGGCGGACGCATACACTAAGCCGGTAAACTAGTCTAACTCACATTTGTAATTTAGAGACAATTCTAAAATCAAACTCATATGTCTAATTCTAAAGTCATATATACTTATTTATATACATGATTGAATGACGCAAACAAACAATCCTACACCATTCTGTTTTGTAAATTAGTTTTTAACACAAATAAGCATGACATTTTCTGCAATTTGATTGCTAAGCTTGGTCTTAATTTGGCCATTATTTATTTGAAATTAGTGGTGAAAAATACACGAACATAAGATGACTCTTATACTCCACCAGAACAAAAACAAAAAACAAAATATCTCTTGCACAAGTAGCCGCGGGAGACGAAATGAATTGGAGCCCTTGAAGGCATCGAAGGGTGAGGACTGAAGAGGAGGTTTCGTGCATGAAGTGATGAGCTCTTTTTAGGTGGTTGACTCCGACGACCATTGACTTCTGAATATGTAAACAAAGACTTTTGGTGATTGAGTCCTTGTAGGCCGTACGCCACACTCTACTCTTCATTATTTAATTAATATTTTGTAGCCAGTTATTTATTCCCATTGGCCAATGCCCACTTTGCTCTTTATCAGCCCATGATATATTGACATGTGAGAGAGAACTAGACCTATAACTTTGCTCTTTATCAACCTCATGGCCTATATCATTGGACTTTTCTGCCCAAAATTTTGTATATATTCTTAAAAAAAAACATACTTTTCTGCCCAAAAGAAAAATAAAAATTGCACTTTTTCGATTGCCCCCACCTCCACATGCTACTTCATGAGTCGGTCTAATATGAAGAATGATGAAGAGATTATTGATTGAGAATGTGTCTTACTAGTTACCTCACTATGATTAGCTAGCCAACTCAAAAGAAAAAGTAACAACTGTTGTTTGATTAATCAGGGTAAAATATAATTGACCTAGAGTGAGGACTCGTCTAATTGAAGATATATATTGGCCGGATAACATTGTCAAAATCATTTTCGAATAACCAAATATGTTTTATCGAGTATTTGGTTTGATCAGTCCCGTTCTCTTATGGTCACCCACCCTTGAATCTAATTTGAGGACTAAGAAAAAATTAGTTTAAAAATCAATATTAACATTTTATTTTAACTTAAATAAAAACTAGAAGGTACCAAAAAAAAAATGTTGCTTAAACTAAAACACATCCCCATCCCAGTGGTAGAAAATCAAGACCGTGTTCTTGCCATTTCTGCCGACACCCACCTCCCCCCCCCCCCCCCCCCCGCCTCCGGCGTCGCAGACAATTCAGAGCCACCCATGCCCTCAAAACTTGCATTATATTCTCAACGAGCACGATTTATTGTTCTCTTCATTAAATATTTATTAATTAAATTTGCCGTTTGCTTCATCTTGTATACTGTACTATTGAGAATTGCTCATCATCGTCCATACCAACAACAGCCACTGCCAATGTTGTTGTGGTTCTCATAAGCAAAATCATAATTGCGACAATCATATACTGAAAATTGAGTAAATTTGAGTATATGATGCAAGTTTGAGGGCATGGTGGCTCTGGATTGTCTGCAACGCCAGAGGCGGAGGTGGGTGTCATCGGCAATGGGTGCAAGAACACGCTCTTGATTTTCTACCACTGGGATGGGGATGTGTTTTAGTTTGAGCGACAATTATTTTTTTTTCAACTTTTAGTTTTGATTTAAGTTAAAATAAAATGTTAATATTGATTTTTAAACTAGTTTTTTCTCAACTTTTAGATTAAATTCAAAGGTGGGTGACCATAAATCTCTTAGATCATAGGGGTCAAAGAGAACGAGACTGTTATTTGAAATAGATAAGAATAATTTAAAAGATTAGAGAAGGTTGTTAAAGGTGAATATACAAAAAAAACATATATTTAAGAGATGACTCGTATGATTGATATAATCATGAATACTTTTAACATTGCGAAAATCGTTTTCGACTTAGGTAATTGAAATAGATAAGAATAGTTTTTGAAGGTCATAGAAGGTTGTTGTAGGTGAATATGCAACGTCTAATCAAAATGTTATCAAAACATGAGTCAATAATAATTCTATTAATAAGAGTGTTTTATATCTGAAACAAGCAATGCATGGTTTCTTTGTTTTTATGATATTTTTATTCTTAGGAAATTAAAAGGGAAAAGATCGATAAGTGGGAATTCAAAAGAAATATACAAGTGAGGCAGCTAATAAAGGAAGACCATAAAACACAACGTCAAGATTCAAAAAGGCTCTAAAACACGCAGGACCCACCACAGCCATGGCAGAAAGAAAAAAGCATATTTTCTTTCATATTTGGGAGGAATTAGGACTAGTCGCTGCTGATGTCAGCCTGATGACGCGGGTGATATTACGTGTGCTTGTCGTGTATGCGAAGAGTCATGATTCTCATGAATTCTCCATATTTTTTCCAACCCAAGGATTTGATTTGAATATAAATTCTCCACACCCAGGCAGAAACTGATGAAGACCATAACCAAAAGCAGTTAGCAGCCACCCACTGAAACTGGTGCAAATTGCCAAATAGGTCTTTGCTATATTTATGTCTATGTGGAAATCAACTGTGAAAGTTCCTTGAATTTAACTAGATTATTTTCCAACTTTCAGCACGGTATTATAAATAAAGGATTTTCCATCGGATGATTTCATATTGTCCTGTGGCTCTTGAAATCTTGATGAACATGGATGCTCACACCCCTACCAAAAGAAAGGTAATTAACATGGATATGCTATCATGTTCCCTGCGCATCGAGTTCCTCTGTTCGAATTCCCTTCTCAAATATCATTTGTATCAAATATATGGGGTTTCTTTTCGGCCTTTGATATGAAAATATGTTTGCATGTTGGCCTTAGCATAATTAGATTTTTGTTTGATGAGCAGGTGGATGATCTCCAACAAGACTTGCTGCGTCTGCGAAAAGAGAATGAAGCTCTGAGATTCTTGCTTCAAGCTATGACCACCAAATGCAACACACTTGAGCAGCTTATCCGAGAGAAAAACATTGAACGACATGATCAGTTTCCGGTTGCCCAGAAGACAACACAGTTTCTTGTGAGAACCGACTCCAAAGACAACACCCTAGTAAGTCTAAACGCTAATCATCAGTTGGTAAGTTAATACCCCCAATACACCGTTTACTAATATTATCTGTGAATTAAATGATTAGATTGTGAAAGATGGATATCAATGGAGGAAATACGGACAGAAGGTTACGAAAGACAACCCATCATCCCCTCGAGCTTATTTCAAGTGTTCCTTGGCTCCTCGATGTCCGGTCAAGAAGAAGGTAACCTACGCTATACGCTATGCCTTAGCTTGAACTAGAATCCTTCGTTTTTGCTTTGAATTTTCCAGAGAAATTAACATTAATTTAATATATCATTTACCAGTCAGAGTTTTGAATTCGGACCAAAATTTTGGATAGATCTGGTTTTAGTCATGACATGAGTTGCTCACGTAAATGAATTGATCACCAATTGGCTAAGCTTCCATGCATATTTATTATTAATAGATGCTCTATAAAACAATGCAGAATTAAAAAATTAATAATATAAAATGGAAAATTTTCGCATATTAATTTGTTTGAAATATATGTATGTATTTTAGGTGCAGAGATGCATGGTGGATAAGTCTGTTCTTGTGGCAACATATGAAGGAGAGCACAACCATGACGCCATCAATGGCTCACCACTTGGACAATTTTGCTGTTCATCATCCACCGCTGATCATAATAATAATATTATTTTTAATCCTATTAATTTTCCTTCGCATGGTATCTCAGCAACTATTAATAATAATGATGTCATAAATATTGCTAGCCCTTCGAATTCTTCTCGGCCGGTGCCTATCACCCTTGATCTGACACTCTCGGGATCCATGAGCAATCAAGAAAATAATGGATCAGCTGGAAGCCCTCAAAACTCATCATCATGTGCCCCGAACATCAACTGTGAAAGTAGAATTGAAGATTACGTTGCTTATTTAACCAAAGATCATAATTTCACACAAGCTTTGGCTGCTGCGGTTGCAAGCTCCATTACAAGACCTCCTGCAGGCACAGAAAACCAGTGAACTTTTAACTTAGCCTAGAATTGCAAGACTTCTGTAAGCAATAGCTTCTTTTGTTGTCTTCCTCTCATTGAGAAAACCAAGAGTTATTTCCTTGTACTATTTTTTGCTGGTCTGATGAGGATGATCATACGTTTTAGTGTTGTTTGTGAGGTGTTGATGTAAGATTTCTACATGCTTGCTTTCGTTTTTTCTTTTACATTTTACCTTTTTTTGTTGTTGGAAGAAAATAGTACCCAAAGATAAAAACGTCTTAATACTGCATAACCATTAATGAAAACCTAGTTCAGTTGTATACATGATGAGAAAGTTTTGATCAAGCAGGGCATAAACTAATGTCCATTTCTTATACTCATCTGATCAAACCACATGTGAATAGCATTATAATATGTCGAACATCAAACCACATATGAGTAGCATTATAATATGTCGAACACAGAACCCCGAGTGCATAATTGAATATTTTCACCTTAGTCACAAACCCATTATATAGTGCTAGTGTTTCACACTCCTTTTGATAGTACTGAGGGAACGATTGAACAGGCGTGCACACAATGACGTGAGAGTTGTTGGAGGGCATACGTCATTGAAATTGGACTCGGGTTTTAGTTATTGGATTAATTATTTTCACTATGTCACTATCTCTTTGATTCATAATAATACCTACCTAATGTTGTGACAAATGCAGTTGACTCGATAACCAAGCCAAAGATCAAAAACCTACCAAGCATGTGGCTCCTGTGGTCCTTGGCCCTTTCATCTTCACTAAGAGCCAAAAGCAAATTAAAGTTTTGAATCAAAATCGTATGGCCTTATTTGGCCCTTTCTCAAAATTTCATATTGAATATAATATATTGCACTTTACTACTATTTTATATAAAAGATTTACATCCCTATAACTAAAAAAAATATACATATGAAAAAAATATAACTAAAATTAGTAATAGATAAAGGGAAACTAAGCTGACTATATTGCATGTATTTTTACAACAAAATTCCTCAGTTGTATCTTACAAGTGGCTCATCGAACAGGGGAACTCCATAAAACTCCAGCAACTCTGCTCCAAAGAACAATAAACCATGTTACAGAAAACAACAATGTCACTAATTACAAGCTTCACCACTACAGTAAATCAGAACTTTCAAAAACAAAGAAGAGGATGTTAGGCTTACTAATTAAGGTGGACCTCTCCCCTTCTGCAAACCACCAGCATTACTTTAAATCATGAGGAAAACATTCTTCTCCAGATCATCAGAATTGGTGGTTCCAGTTGTTTTTGTGCTCTCAATCCTTTGAAGGGATTTTCATCCATGGAGTGAAAAAAAAATTACATCCATTGGAGAACGGCTTTGGTTGCTGGAAAAAAATATGGTGAAATAGTTCTTTATGATTTAATGTTGCCACTCTTAATGGGAGTCTGTATCAAGAGCTCCTTTTTGGGAACAGTTCCCGCTTTCATTTTCTCGTTTTCCGCCCCCTTCTGTGCTTTCTTCTTTTCAAATTCAAGCTGCTTACAGTTTTCCTCGTGCGCTCGGGCAAACATCCTCACAAAGTTGAGCAGAGTAGATACAACTACAGGGAAAATTCCAAATAAACTCAAAGAGAAAATACGATAAACAACAGAAGGAAAAGAAGAAGAAGAAGAAGAAGAAGAAGACGAAAATAACATGTACAGGTATCACCAAAGAAAAAAAAAATCAGCATTTAGTCTTTGGTGATACCTGTTTATATATCTCTTTTTTTCTTTCTGTACATGGTGCTAGAGAAATCACAGATCAATTAACAGTTAATTAACAGTTTACTCTCTCTTATGAATGCCTGACACTCAAGGCAGAGAGTATAGACCAACAGTATTTAAAATCATCATAGGATATTAATGGATAAAGATAATTACTGATGATTCTTCGAAAACCAGAAGCACAAATTAAAACATATATACCTTGTTCAAATGGGCAGCGAGCAGGATCTTCCCCAAAATAAAGAGCCAATGCATCTGCATTTCTCCCCTGAAGACAACCACATTGAAAAGTGTAAGTGTGTTTTTCTTTCATACCACAAGCAAAACCCAACTCCTTAAACAAACTTGACACATACCACATTAGAATAAAGTGAAGCCAAAGACCTCACTTCAGCTTCGGCATGACTAAGGAACTCCTTTAGTGTCTGAACATTTGTCAGGAGATAACATAAAATTAATATTAAGAAAACTATTAATAGAAGCAGCATAATATCAAATGCAACATATGATCTTTCTAAAACAACATTAGTGAGGTAGTTGTTGGGCTTTGCAATCGGTGATCAATTTGTTTGGTATTAGAACTTTTAGGTATTCCTTTATGATGACCAATAAGTTTTATCTGTTAGCCAAATATGTCATCTAATTCAAATTTGTTACCTATATGTAACAAATACGCCTTTCAGACATATCTGAGATAGGCAACTCTGAGTAAGCTTACAAATCAATTAGTAAAGAAGGAACATCAGGTGATTGCTCACTTCTTTGTTTTTCTATCAAATTGTCAAGTATCCAAACGATAGCTTTCTCCTCTTTAAAGCTTATCTCATTCTAAAGGCAATGCAGCTAACCCCGGTAGGAAAGTCATGCCATGGAGATATGTATGCATGAAGTAGTTGATGCATGTAACCTTGCAAAAAGTTTCTGACACAGGACCATCATTTTCTGAGGCAGTCAACTCTTGTACAACCTTCTCTAGCCCTTTACTGATGGCTTGCATTTCCTCTGCCAAATATTTCAATTGTATCTACATCATAATTAAAAACTTAGCTCAGTCAAGCTTGTATAAGAAACCCACTGTATCTAAACTAAATTGAACAGGAAAAACAGAATACCTTCGTTGAAGCCTCCAAACTTGTGAGGTCTTTTGGAAAATCAAGAAGTTCTGGCAGCTTCTCCGCAAGCACCTGTGGTTTGTTGAAGATGAATTTTATGAGCAGAATTGTTAAAGTTTTAAATTATACAATCAGAACAATATTATAAGATCACTTTGGGACCCAACCAAATACAAGTTTTCTATATGCTTAAACTTCTACGACACAATATGCACAAAGTGAAGGAGAAGTTCCACAAAACATTAACACAATGGACTAAAGGCTTTAAAAAATTACCTTACAAAGGTAATGCATAAGAGTCATCTTGTTATTCCGGGCTCGTGTATCAGTGAGCTTAAGGAGACTATCCAATCGAAATCCAATAGCAGAACCTACAGAAATAATTAAATAAACTAACTGCGCACATAGAAAGAACACAAGGTACCGGAGCTTCTAGGAAAAAGACTAAGAACAAAATAATCAATGCAAAACAAGGACCTGTCATATACTAATTATATAGCTATTTCCACCTTTCCTGTCAAAGTAGCTTATTGAACAAGTTACTACATTTTACCTACAATTACATATCTGCCCAACCCCAACTTGCAACTTTGTAGCATTTTTATCACAAAGGCTGCAATTTTCCATTTATGTACAGTCAATGTATTAGTAGAAAATGGCAACCAAGTATTTCACTCACCTCTTGCAGTCCCATGGTTCAAGGCATTACCCAGAGAAAGAATTGTTTGCATGATCCTTTTCAGCTTTTCCGAACTTCTGATCTGATAAGCACATTCATATGATATTAAAGAGATGAAATTTTCAAGCAGGAAAAAAAAAAACTAGAAAATACAAAAAAGAAAAGAAATTTGCCTGATCAGCTACTGAATTGACTGTGTTCAAATTCTTTCTAAGGTCGGAAACCTGAAAAATGCAACACCATGGACAAATGCATAACAAGAAGCACAACAGAAATAGAAAGCATCTGGAATAAAATCATTAGACAATTTGTCACCTTACCTGGGAATGGAATTGTATTTTAAATGAGAAAACTCTGAGCTTCGGCTCTACCCGGGGAACTTTCATTAATTCAAGAAAAAACTGTCACAAATTGCATAGAGCAATTAATTAAAGCATAAAATGAAGTGAGAGACACTGGGGAGGGGTGAAGAAGAGTTGAATGATTATGGAAGTGACTTCTTCAAAACCAGTTCAGTTACTTCTAAAAACTAAGACTCTAAAGCTCAAGATTTATGCAATTGAAACATAAAGTATTTCATCCCAACCAAATTATAATGACAGCAAGCTATGAATATAATTTCAATGCACATCATTATAATGGCAACAATAGCCTTGCTGTCCACTATATGACTTTTCAAGTGAAAAGAAAGGAGAGTTAAAGGAAAGTGGAGGAGAAGTAAAATCCACTCACTTGTTCACATCTTCCCAAGTTTTCCTTATCTCCACTGTAACCCTGAGCAACAAAGCATGATTTGTTATTCAAGAAAACAGAAGACCTTATATACTCACTGTAAGCAATTTCATGTACAAAATAATCAGGTCATATTTATAGAAGCTCTCACGATGGCATAATTAAAACTAGATAAAAGTACCTTGAGTAATTCCATCTCTTCCTTTGTTGGACAAAATTTTATGAGGTTCTCAACCTGATCAATATCTAATGCTGAATCATCCAAGGCAAGCACTGAACTCTGAAAAATATACCACAGACAATAATTATTTACTAGTGGAAAAGTATGCCATCCTATTTTCTTAAATGAATGGAAGTTAGCATTTGGAGCTTTGAAACTGCAACCTAACAAAACTGTTAAGAAGCATATACAAGCAAACAGGTGCCTTTAGGTTTATAGCTTACCATCACATCAGGCAAAGGGATTTTAACTTTAGAAAGCATTATTTCACAATTATATGCCCGCCTTAGCTCAATCTGCAAGAACCAGTAAATTTCTTGTGAGGATTGAGGTGGCAAAGGAAGACTGTGTATTCAATTAGTTCAAAACAACAGAAAAAAAGATGGTACAAAAGGCAATCTGCTAAACAGATCCTCACTTCAAGCCAGTTGACTAGCAAAAACATAATTACCAGATTTCTTTCCAATATGCAAAAGGATGGCAAAAGGAGAACTCTTGCAAGCAATAATAGACTCTATTACCAAGCACCACTGCTATCGGTTCTGTGCAAACACAATATGAAGTTCCATTTGCACATACTGCTGAATTAATAATTTGATCCATATTATATATGTTACATCTAACTCCCCTTGAGGGATCCATCAAAGGGCACTACTAGTGAAAACTAGGTAGGCCCTGTTTGATTGACAGATCAAGACAACTTTTGTTATCCACAAATGAAGTAAAAACCAGGGCTAATTACCAGCTGAACTTTTTCAGATTTAGGTCCTGTGGTGCGACGACTAGATTTTCCTCCTGTATTTCCATGGTCTGAATTTGGAGTAACCGCAGAAAAAAGACTCTCGAGTTCAGACATGTCAAACTCTGGAGGCCTGGAACAGAGGAAACAGAAACAGAATAATAGGGTTCCAATTGTATGAATAGAAAAAAACTGATAAAATTCCTTAACGAGTGAGGCATACTTGGTTGCTTCATCAGCCTTTTGTGCTTCAGCCCATAAGCTTCCTTGCATCGCTCTTGTTAATTTTAGCCAATGATATGGCTTCAGATTGGCCTTTTTAGGTTGAGCCTGATTTCTGGAACTTGGACGTGTGAGGCCCCGCCCCTTTAGACTAAAGGGAACACCAGAAGGTGGTCCAGGAATCGAAGGAATATTACCATTACTAGCCCTGGAATGAGGTGCTGTGGGGACACCACCTGATATTGATACCCCATTGGGAAGAGGAGGAGGTGGTACGGGTGGCACTGGTGCAGAATTCTGGGACAGAGATTCCTTTGGTGCAAAAGCTGGAGGAGGGGGCGGTGGCGGCGCTGAAGATGTTAGAGTAGAAGTTGAGGCAGGCCCTGAACATTGAGGAAGCGGAGGAGGTGGAGGGGGGCCAGACATGACTGCTGAAGAAGTAGGACAGGGCTGAAACTGAGCTCTCGAAAGAGGATGATGTTCCCTGGAAGGAAGGGGGAGGGGGGCCTGAGATAGTGTTCTTGAGAGAAGATGATGCCTCTGGAAAGGAAGTGGGAGGGGGAGGAGCAAGGGGAGCTGAAATTGAGTTCTTGAGAGAGGATGATAAAGAAGCCTCCAAGAAGGAAGGGAGCGGAGGTGACCCTGAAAAAGGAGGGGGTGGAGGAGGGGGAATTGAAACAGAGTTCTTGACCGAGGAAGATGGAGATCCCCCTGAAAAAGAAGTGCATTGAGGGTGAGGAGCGACTAAAACTGAGCCCTCGATGTCAGAGGGTGAAGATGTCACTGATAGATTAGGAGGTGGAGGTGGAGGGGGGGAAGGAGGAATGAATGCTGACTGACCTCTACCCTGTAATGTAGTTTCAGTGTGTTGGGTAAGCAAAGACAGCGAGGAATTTGAAGTTTGTTGGGGAAGTGCTGGTGGCAGAGAAGGTGTAGTACCAGCGGAAATCTTTTCTACAGTTGCATGCCCAGAAGATTGCAATGAAGAAGGTGATGCTGACAGTGGTGGTGGTGCAGGAATAGACAGCTTACCAGGCTGCACAGATTTAGGTACAGTTAAATCAGGAGCTGATGAGGCATGGGAAGGTGGAGACATGGTCACAGGATGTGTGATTTCTTCTACACTGTTAGATGCAGCGTGATCCTGCAACAGAGCTGTAATGCCAAGGGCTGAGGGTGCACTGTGATATCTTGATATTGGCACAGGCGATCCTTGCAAGGAATTACAATATGAAACTGGTGCAGACCGGGAGGCTTGAGGTGCTCGCTGAGATATGATTTTAGATTGGGCAGGCCGTAGGAGAGCAACTTGCAGTTCCTGGGGTTCAATGTTTTTTCTAATCAAATTAGCATTTAGGGATGGTTCAAAGCTAGACATAGATTGCTTCCCATGAGGCCTATATTGGGGACTCTTGATACTATTTTCTGCTGCCTTTGGTTCTGATATAAGTTTTGCAGGAAGTGATTCTAGCAACAAATTGCCTGTCTCTGCAGTATAAGCAGAAGCACTGTCATGTTTCCCCTGAGCCACGGATGTGGGATCCTTGATATTGTTTTCTGATGCCTTCACTTCTGATTTAAGATTTGCAGAAGCTGATTCCAGCAACAAGCTGCCTGCTTCTGTGTTATGGACAGAAGCACTATCCAGTTTCTGAAGAGCACCTGATGAGGCAATCTGCTGGAGGACATTAAGTGTTACATCTGTCTTTGGATCCAGCCAATCCACATTGCTAAAAATCTCCTGAACTTTTGCAAATGCTTCCACAGGAAGACCATCTTTCTCCTCCATACCAGGCAAATCAATTGATATAAGAGAAGTAGCAGCATCCATCTCCGAGAAAAGAACCTTCATCCAGATATTAACAATAATAATGATGAAAATGATGATTAGAATAGTAGTCGGATTAATGATAACAGTAATGATGATAATGATTGATAATATTTTGCTCCTAAACATGAAATTTGAAATTCCACTGACTATAACAGAGAACACAGGGGTATATACGAGTACCTCTGCTCTGAAATCCTTGGGAAATTGATCCTTAACATTCCATAAGATGTCTATATCCTCACGATTAAGCATCAAAATATTGGACCTAATAAAGGCCGTATTGAACATGATGCGAAACATCATCTCTTCACGTTCCAGATCATTATCTAAACTAATACACTCGAGAACCACATCACCTTGGATATGGCAATGTATATCAATTTTAACTAGTTCACAATCTGCCTGCACCAAGATGTGAAGAATTAAAACAAAATTTCACCAAGATAATTTGATTGATATCCCTGCCAGAAGCAAAGCATCAACATGTAGACAAATGAAATCATGAGAACAAATGACCGAGAAAAAGCTCTACCTTGTTCAGGAAGAGGAACCACAATCTGAGATTACCAAAAGGAATAAAAAAAAACATATAAATAAGAGTAAAGTGACTTAAACCACCTGCTTGTAATGCCGTACAAGTTTGCTCCTTTTTGGAGTTGAGAACAAAACTTTAGGAGTCCGATCAGCAGCCATAAAAGGATCCTGTCCATATATTCTAAATATTGGACGGCAACCTCCCTCTCCATCCATATTAGGAATGAATCTTATGATAATGCAGTCCAATGTAAGTGCCCTATCCAGTGGAGGCCATTCCGATCCCACATTTCTTCTTGTTATATACTGAAGATACCTCAGTTGTGAAGGCATTGGATTCAGTGGTGACATTAACTGCAAAAGTTCCCGAGGTGCTTGCTTGTAAATGATGTCCAATGTCTTGTGCTCCCCAGTGTACTGCTTCCTGTAAATCAAGAGTGCAGCCAGCATAAAGGCCAAAACCAACCACCCACCTCGTTCACAATGCATTAGGAGCACATTTTGTTGCCCGAGTGAAAGCCAGCTTTCACTTGATCTCAGGAAGTGGTGTATCGCCTCCATTGTGAGAAGTGGGCAACCTTCATAGTGTCGAGGATAGTCCATTACTGTCATGTCATACTCAGACAATATGTTAGAAATCAGGCTTTGATTTTCTCCGTCTCGAAAGTTAAAGACCATGAATGAAGCTTCAGGAAACTGTTCACGGAGTTGACTCGCTATGCCTCCTATGTAAACTTTATATTCATCTTCTTCCAAAACGTCCGTGGTAAAACAGCAATCAAAAACTACATGTGCAGACAACACAATTGCAAACATGTAAGTAAACATATTGTAAATTGTTCTGCAGCATAATAATACAGGTTCAGTTGTAACTTTTTTCTACTCATTTGTCACGGCATAATCATAATTGTAGAACCTGAGCAAATCACTGGACATATTTTGAATTTTTCGTAAAACATCTGAAAATTAGTTCTTATCCGGAAAAGTTTTCGGGGACATTAACAGAGCCTCCTCAAAGTTCAACAAAGTATGATATGTTCAATAATCTCCAGTTCCATTCACGCGGACTCTGCCAAACTGATGCAGTTCAGTTCATTCTTAGGTATCCCAAAACACATTTAGTAAATTTGCATCTCCAAATATAGACATTTTCCCAAATTACAAATAAGCTGCTCTAGTTAACATTTTAACAATAAACAAAGACAAACATTTTAGCAATCAAACGAATTCAATCAACCAAATTCCTTTGAAATTAGAACCAAAGACAAACATACCATAAACCCTTTCAGAGATCTCCAAAAGCCCATCTGGCGGCTTCCTATAGAAGAACTTTCTGAACAACGCCATTGAGTATCAAGATCCGAAAATATCCCTCACAAGAACACCTAAAAACACTCCAATACAACCCACATTGTCTCAGCTCATATACCCAGATCACCAAATGCCCAAATGAATGCAATATAAATAAGGGTCAAGACGATGATGGTCTGCAGCAGAGTGTATATTGAGGAACCAGAGGAATATGGGTTTTGCTGGGTCTCTAAGGAAAGTGCTTCTGAGTATTATTTGTGGTGTTGTTGTTGCTCTTGTCTTGCCATTCACACTTTGTATGTATCAGAGAGAGAAAAGACTTAGCTTTCAATCAAGAACCGTTGTGGGACTGAGAGGAAGAGAGAGAATGTGATGATGGGTATCTTCATCTACGTTGTATTAGAGAAATATATAAAAAATAACGAAGTCAGATATGGCGTTTGTTTAAGCAAACAGAGAATAAGGGATCTGGGGTTTGTCTCTGTCTCTCTGTGTCTGTGTGTGCGTCTGTACCTAATTCGTTAGGAGAGAGAAAGAGGAGATAGAATTAGAATTACACAATTATGTGTCCTTGATTTTATTTTCTTTCTGTTTTTCTCACTTTTTCTTTACACAATTATTTTCATTGCTTTGGTGGCAATTCACACGTGTGCGTTATTTTTGTGTGTGTTTCTTTTCCACGTGTGTGACTTAAAAAGTTTCATTTTTATTTTTGTAATTGTATTTTGCTAGAAGTCCTTCACCTGTAACTTACAAAGTTTTAATCACGCAAGACTTAAAAAATTTTATTTTTTATTTTTTTTGCAATAGTACTTTTCTAGAGGCTCGTCTCAACAATATGGCCGATGAAAACTATTGAGCTTACCACTGGAAACCAAAATCGAATCAATCCCATGAGGCATTTGCGACCTATCCGAACGTACTAATTGTCTTTATGTGAATACTCTACTTAAATGTACATTTTTTCGTAACTAATGTACCTATTACCAAAGGAACATAAATATAAATCCTTTTGGGTATAAATACTCTTTAAATAAATAAATATTTTTAAATTAAAGTTTAAAAATAATAAATAAATAAAAATACAATGCAGAAATTTAAGGAATATATTACAACTATTGTGAATAAATATTTGAATTTATTTAAAGAGTATAGCCGAGCGGCTATACTATAAAATATTTGAACACATTTAACGAGTATAGCCGCGCGGCTATACTATTTAAATGGAACCGGTACAGTTTTCAGATGCCAACATTGAAATTTTGGGTTATTGCCAAAATTGGATTGATTCTAAAGTTTGTCATGTCACAACACAGGAATTTTGTAGATGCTTATGGATGTATGATTGTGCTCGGATGGCCTCCTCATTGTCAACAAGCGGAAAAAAAAAAAAAAAAAAAAAAGGTTTTTTAAAATTTGGAGTTATGTGGGGAAACCCGGGGAATGCAAAAAAAATCAACAAT